AAATGGTAGATTGAAATATGTATGTACATAATGTAGATTTGGAATTGTCAAATTTTCAGGATCAAAATTATACTCCTTTAGAAGCTTATACAGTTTTCTCTGAAATCTTGTTTTCTGCTATTGATAAATCTCTACCACGTCGTCACAGACTAATACTTCTGTTGATAACTCTGGTTTTAGGAATTTCCAGTGCTTGAAATCATACTCAATTCTGCTCAAATCCTGACTTGAGCATTGAGTAGAGTTCTGGAATACGACCCTGAGTCTTCTGTGTGTTTGCATTTTTGATGGATTAATAAATTCCTGTGTTGGTTATAACATAAATTCAAACACAAGTATGGCTGAGGCTGCGGCAATTCTTACTGCCTTAAAACACATAAAGTATAAACATCATGGATGTCCTGAGAGCTCAACTGTACAATACCTACACTCGAGTTGAGAGTTGAAAATAATATGGTGAATAAATTACATGGGGTCGTATTCAAACACTACTCAATGCTCAAGTCAGGATTTGAGTATGGTTTAAAGCACTCGAAATCATACTCAAGTCCCTGCCATTAGGGTCGTATTTCCAGTGCTTGAAATCTTTATGCATTGAGTAGAATTCTAATTTTATTTCGCAATATTGAATTAAAAAGCATAAATTATTTAAAAAAATTAACTATACGACACGCGTTCGTTCATTTCGTTCATTTTTTTACGAAAAGATTTATTTTTTGAGTTATTTATAAAATTTTTCGCAATATTGAATTAAAAAGCATAAATTAATGAGTAATTGTATATGTAAGATTGAAAGAAAACTTTATCCCCCTCCAACCCTTCGCCCGAAAATTCGAGTGTAGGTATTGTACAGTCCTACTTCATTGTAGGACAGCAGAGCAATCTATATCCCACATAATCTTCCAATGCCCATTTTTCGGCATTCTGCGCCTTGTGCTGATGGATGAGCTAATTGAACTATATGGTAGTCCAGATTCGGTACCGCGCTCTGTTCAGGATCTCCTTGTAAATAGGTTGTCATATATACCCTTATTTAGTTATATAAATAGCACAGTAGGTAATATTTAGTTTAGTTTCTTGTTCTTTTTAAAGTGTTAGCTCCGTCGATACAATTGACGATGACATTATGAATGACCAAAACAAACAAAATTGACAAATGACAAAGATTTTACTTTAATATTTAATTAACATTACCTATCGAGATTTTCGTATCCTGGATAATTCATATTTTAAACTTAAGATTTTACACGGCTCTTACTGAATTACTGAAGACTACGGGTCGTATTCTAGAACTACTCAATGCTCAAGTCAGGATTTGAGTATGGTTTAAAGCACTCGAAATCATACTCTAGTCCCTGCCATTAGGGTCGTATTTCCAGTGCTTGAAATCTTGAGCATTGAGTAAAATTCTAGAATACGACCCTTAAACTGAAGGATCTTAAACTGAAGACTTAAATCGAAACATCTGCTGGAGAAAAAGAGAAACTAATGACTAGGCAGTATGGTCTCTGACCTTCGCCTGTTCCAAACGGAACGAAGAAAAAAAAAAGTATCTTGTGTAGTTTTGTGTGCGTGGGTGCGTATTAAGAGTTTGTTCAAAGAGAATTTAAGCACTAAGTTTGTTCTCCGTTGTTTTATTGTTATATTCCTCGACCACGGCTTTCTACGGACTTCCGATCTTGTTTAACTTGTGCGAACCTTGCTATCATACCTGACACAGAGAATCTCTCTTACGTCGTTTGACTTGGACTCGTTATTTTGATTTTGTATGCCGGCGTTTATTGAATAAAAACACCATGGATCGCTGTGTGAACTGTGGTATAGCGAATGGTCGCTGTAATTTTCTACGTCGACGTGCCTTAGATGACGAAACTATACTGTCAGTGATTCGTCGATGGCTTGCACCACAACCTGTAAGTACTCACTTCCTATTTTTAGGTAACCAGAGTTTACCATGCTGGTCTACAGGTTTCTTTTCTATGTTTTTACCATTACTCTTATTATTAATGACGGATACGTAAACGTATAAAAAGTTCATTAAGATTGTTTATATTTAATTAAATACCTAAACCAACAGTAATCATGATTTGTTGACATTAAAGCTTTTCCCATTTTTTAGGTGAACAGCAGTGAATATATTTGCCAAGCTTGTTGGGACTTGGTTCGCAGACTACCAGTTGATGCGCCAAGACAATTTGGCCACCGTAGTGTTTGTGTCAACTGTGGGTGTGCGCTTGCATCAAAAGTCAGCCATCTTCTTCACACAGACTCAATTCGTGAATTCAAAATTTATAGTGTCATAAAAAAATGGATTAAGCCTCAAACTGTAAGTTCTATTAGATTACATGTTTCTTATAACTACTGTTATGGTAAGCCAAATAGATTGTTTTATAGTCCATTCTGATCCATTTTAAGCAAAAAGTAAACAAAACTGTTTGGTTAAAATTCTATAGCAATAACTCAATAAATCGAATAAGTAACACTTTCATGTATATTTCAATGATTTCTACTTGATATCTCACCACTTTTTCCAACAATATTCATTTGAACAGCATAGTAAAATCGTGTTTGAAAAATGGTAATTCAAAAGAGAGGCTATTTTTCAACTATGCAACTATGACTTGTTTATGGTTGCATAGTGCTGTACCAAATAAATCAAATTCGTAAATCGAAAATTTCAATCGCAATCGAATGAGTATCTAAGTGTAATGATTTGAAGGAGGATGTAAAATTAAAATTTTGGAAATTTTAATTTTATGCTTTTATAAGTTATGTAAGGAAAAACTGCTAGCATGACTCAATTAAACAAATTGATTCATTCAATTAATTAATCAATTTGTAGTTGGCATTACAATTGGCCATCACTAAACTAGGGGCAGTAACTCTTCTTTGTTTACTTTTTGTTTAAAATGGATTGAAAGAAGTATTGATACATAAATGATTATGTATGTTTGTTGTAGGTAGAAGTGGCAAGTCGGATATGTCATTGTTGTTGGGTTAAGGCAGACAGAGCTGCTGTCTCAGGCCCATCAACTTTTTCACAAAAAAGCTATCCTGGAAAAATACAGTCACAGACACAAGACCTTCCCATTCAGCATCCAAATACAAAAGTTAAACCTGAACCTGCTATTGTATTACCAGACTACATGAGAGCTATGGAAATACAAAGTATGTGCTTTATTGAAGGATGCCAGGGAACAGAGAGATATAGAGTTCCACTTTCTACTAGGGAAATGTAGCTCAGTCAGTATAAATATTATATATAGAATAATCATCTTTGTGATCGACATTTGATTATTGAAGCAAGGAATTTTCTAGACAGCTGAGATCTAATTATGTACAGACTTACAGCAAAACATATCAAGGACATGATGTCCCTATAAGAAGTACTAGACCTAGGTTTAGGTACTGCATTTTGAGAACATAGATTATGTGTAAAATGTCATCTATGTATTTGTGGATTGGCTTGAATAAAGCAGTCTCATCAACTGCTCAATGAAATTTTTCAGCTATTGGAAATACTAAGAACATTCCTCCTAGCTTTAGCAGCATATTTGATGAAGCTTATAATAACTAAGATTTCTGAATATAATTGAAAATGAATAAATAGAAATTAAAAAATGTTGTTCTGTTACATCATCACATCCCTACACATGACCTTTGCAATTTATGATGTTTTGAGTTTCCTCTCAACATCTTCCAACTCTACTACAAACAATACAAATATATACATATAAAATCATATCTATCTATACAAATATATACATATAAAATCATAATCTAGTACAAATATAATATAGTACAAATATATACATATAAAATCATATCTATCTATACATTATATAAAAGCCAATAACAAATGCACCTAACAAATCAGCTATTAAGTATAAGTTGTTACATAACCTCACTTTTCAAATCTCTTTAAACTCTCCTCTCAGATTGTCAGATTCTGCAGAAGTTGCAGTGATGGTATGACAATATATAAGCTTTTGATACCACTTTCATCTTTTTACATCGTGGCTGAAGATTGTATGAAATCATAACCTTCTCCTTTGAATAATATTACAAGGAAACAAACTGACTACTTATATTTCATAATAAAGATGAATTAATTGATAACCACGGGCATTTATTACTTCCAGGTTACTGGTCAGCGCCATCTAGATTTAAGACGGTATTTTTATCTTTTTCAGAGTTGCGATTTTTAGTATGGAGATTAGCAGTCCTCTTTAATGTTATTAGTCTTAAATATAAACATACTGTTGATTGTATGTATGTTGCAGGCAATATTAAAAAGTTGGTTGCCGAGTTAAGTCGAGATTTCGACGTGACTGTGGATAAAGAAAAAAGTGCTTCTCTCATTAAAGAAGATTCTATTCACCTATCATCTGAAGAAGAGGAAACACCATTTTCTTGGCAGAAAACCACGTGCATTCCATATGATACGGGTAAGTAAACATCATTTGCTGTGCTATTTATTTATTTATTAACCTATATTATTCTGACAATTCAATTATATTAATAAATTACTTAATCTACGACATCAGCGCATCCCGAAGACATATAGATCTCTGCTGTGCCATACAACTACTTAATATTTTACTACAGAATCATTGTAGGCTAACTTCGATTATATTTCATGATATCTAAGACAAGATGCAATATACGCACAAACCTTGAACCTCTGCTGAACGCACCACTGTTGCGCCTTTGTAACCTAAGTTGATTCTGCAGCATGTGCTAAGTGTGGTGTGTCCCTAAATTCAACTTTTTTGCATTAATCTATTTTACGTCATAGTTACAGATTGTACTATTTCTTTTTTCTATTGATGCGTATTTTTTTCTTATGCCAGAGACAGTTAGATTGTAAAGCAATGATTTTTGTAAAACTGGACAATATTTAACTTTTTTAAAAGTAGGTATCATTTTCTTGAGGTCAGACAAAGAAACAAAATGGCCCATGCTATGCATGACTTACAATTTTATTGTCGTTGGAATTATAACATTATTATGGGCTTATAAATATTATTGCTATTGGAATATGATGTTCTTTTGAGGAATATAGCACGTCAGATGAATAAACCTAACAAATTAAAAGAAAATATTCAAAGTCAAACAATCATTTATTCCATAGGTAAAATAAATTTACACTTAGAAATGTCACATTTAAGCTTTCACTACGCTGACTTCCCTGAGAAGAACGAGCAATTCATTCTAAGGATTGCTCTTTTCAAATAAACTTAAATGCTATGGAATACAATCGCAGTGAAACACTACCGTGTAGATGGATCTTAACATATGCAAACTTTGCCACAGATGAGGTGGGAGCAAGCGAAAACGACATCCATCTGTACGACTCTTCACCGCAGGAATTTGAGGCTGCACAGTTAAAACATACAGGTGACGAGATTCAGTTTTTAACCAAAATCACTATCATAGATTGTTACCTGCCGCCGTGGTTACTATGGTGATCGGTTACTACGCTAATCTGCCACGCAGAGGTCCCGGGTTGGTTTCACAGGCTGATAGAAATATTTATATGGCCCACAGTTATTTCTCTCGTGAGTTCGGGTGTAATTTGTAGTGTTTGAGTGTATTTTTGAGTCCATGACACCCGTAATACAGGGCGTCTCTAGTGCGGGGCTAAGAGTGTATGCGTCATTAATTATTATATATTCTTTATTTATTGTAGTGTTTTTTTATAATATCAAGTGATGGGACGAACAAGTCGTGCGCCTGATGGGTAGAACACCTGTTCATAACAGTTGCAGTGCCAGTCAGAACTTTAAATCGCTATGAGGGGTGCTGCCGCTGTGCCCGTCACCCTGAGACATAAGTTGACAAGTCCCATGTGCCTGTAATATCACCAACACCCTTACCCTTCTGAACCGAAACGCAGTAATTCTAACATTACTGCTAGGCGGCAGAAATAGGTGGCAGTGTGGCAAGGTGGCAGTATTCCCCTGGACGAACTCTTTCACAAGGAGCTCTACTGCTGCTAATAATAATGTTGTAATCAGAGCGGCAGTGTATTATAATCAGACTGGTTAGGTTTCCTCTTTCTTACACATTAAAGGGTTTTGTTCATTGACCAACAAGTTCTCAAACTCACACTTGTTTTAGCTGACATATTTTGCGATCAAAGTCTGGTTTTTTCAAAATCAGTTTATGTGAAATCAAACATTTTAATTTACAGAAAGGCCAAGTAGTGGAGTATTAGAGGAGTTAAAATGCAATCTCTGCGAACGGACCATAACAGGGTGAGTTTAATTATCTATATCACAGATTTGGGATTGGAAATCAAAAACGTCAAATAGGCATCTAACATTTTATGTTGTTTGTGGTAATTGGCGCCACTGTTACGAGATGCACTGCCTTGAATTTGAAATTGGAAAACTGTAAATTCGTACTATCACCTTTATTTTACTGACTTTGGCGACGATCGCCATAATTTTTATATTATTTTTACAGAACGAATCTGACACTGGCCCAAGATTAGCGGCCGCCATTAAGGAAATATATAATAATAATATCTTATGGCGGTATTACAATGTGTACCTATACATATCAGGGAGCCATTGACTTTTGGCATTAATTGAGTATTCTTGTTACCGGCAACATAGGAATGAAACTTTTTTTTATGCCATTGGCATCTTGTGTGCAGATTCATCTGACAAAAATGAGCATAAATCTCCAGGGGTTATACTCAACAATTGCTTTCATTTATTAAATTTATTCCAGATGTCTAATATGAAACTAGGAAAATTTTTAATATATTTACAAGTACCCATAAAAGTATATGAAAAGCTGTCAAAGTTTTGAAATTTTCAGATAAATCATGCAGAACTCATGTCTTTGTTGAATATTTAAGGTGCAGGCATTGACCTATTAGTAAATGGACGTCGGGTTCACGCTAAAAAGTGTCCGCACCTATAGGGCGTTAAAATCGCATACAGAGCGTTAATCGCGCAACAGTCTTCGTTTGTTCGACTGACAGCGCGGTTGTCATTCATGCAGTACCATTTAATAACAACTTGTAAAAATTACTGCAGTAAAGTGTAAAAACAGGATTTTGTATCGTATTTTAACTAAACAAATATATTGTGTTATCATAGTTCTCATTTAAAAGTGTTATTTTCTACATTTTTATAGTATTTAATTTATATAGAAATGAATCGTAAATATAAATTACAAAAGCACACAAAATAATTAAATAGCTAACTGTCCTTTTTCTACACATTGCATGTGCAAAAGATGGAAAGAGCTCCATTACGTCAATTTCAAGAAGCTTATATAAACTTCTTGGTCATTTTCAATTGTTCGAACTACAAGCGATTGAAATATTTAGAACAAATAAACTATAGAGTCGCTTTGATTTTAATCTTATTTTTAAAATGATTTTTTATTAAACGTTAGCAATAACTAACAAATTATTGTTGTACTCATTTTACGGCTTGGGATTACCTATCAGAAGTCAGAAAATACCTTTGCCCGAAATAACGTTAGCTTAAATTTTCATAATGTCAAATGCATTTTTTAGGAAGATTTCAAAACAAAAGCTTATTTTGTCTTTGTGAAAAGCATCGAAAGTTCTCGAAACCGTAACGGTTTTATTATAAATCGGTTTTCGGAATTACAGATATTTGAGTTTACGTTTAGTTGGAATATCGGTACATTTCTTATAGTACACGCTTATTTTCACATTTGTAGGAATGTTTGTATACATGTATCTGCCCAACTCTTTATTATTTCTTTAAGTGAATTGTACAAAATTCGACATAATAATATATATAAAAATTAATTAATATTTACCATAAAGGCTACTCCATTACTCCTGTGTTCAAGTAACTTTCAGTCGAAGCTAAATATGGTGCATTTTGTTAAATTTTCAGTAGAAGCTGAATATGGTGTTTTTGGGCCCTTAAATTGTTGCAAGCAAAATTAGGCAGTATTGCAATGACGTTACAATTTAAATTAAATGTTTTATTTTTTTATATTTCGTTACATGTCACTACGTTTGTATAGGTTACCTTCGGACATTTTTTTCGTCGTTTTTGTATTAGACCCGACGTCCATTTGTTGATAGGTCAATGGGTGCAGGTATTTTTATTATACGTATAAGCAAGCACCCTGAAAATAAGTTATTTTTTAAGGACTTGTATAGCGGTCTTGTCATTAGTTGTCAAAATGCGATGTGAAGAGGTTTTGGGTAATTTCAAAAGGTCACTATTTCTAGGGTCGGTGGACTAAAGCAAATTCAAAACCCAACATCATTAATTTAAATTAATACATCTATTGAGATTAAGGCACATAAATCAAATTAATTTATTACTTCATTAATTGGTTCATAAAATTGTATTAGAAAAAAAATTTACCATTCTCTTCACATCTTTGGACATTAATAAATAACGAAAAAATGTTTAATGATGTATTAAAAATGAAGCATTTTTTACTTATTTGTCTGCCGATCCTAGATGTACATGTGACAAAATCTAGCATTGCTGAACTTTTGTCGTTGAAGGCCATTCCGGTACTCGTGCGTGCAATGCTACGACTTCGACCTGTGCGGTGCGTGTGAAGCACGAGGAGCCCATCACATGCACTACGTGCTCAGAGCGCCGGGACATAAGACCATTGTAAGCATTCATTCTACGTAGTATTAAGGCTTAGTAATTTAACGATGCATTTCGTTGTCGCACAATAGTTATTTGTTACGCAAGGCTGCAAAGTTGTTGTCTTTTTTTTTATAATATGACGTGACGGGACCAACAAGTCGTGCGTCTGATTGTAAGCTACATGTGTATCCATAACAGTTGTAGTGTCTTATATATATTTTTTTTTGTTTATATCGCAAAGATCCGAGAGGTACTGTCACATTGAGACATAAGTTGACAAGTCCCAAGTGCCTGTAATTTCGCCAGCAACCTTGCCCTTCAAAACCGGTAGCAGAAGTAGGTAAGGTGGCAGTAGTTCCCTGGACGAACTCTTTCACAAGAAGCTTCCTGCTACTAATCTATAAATTCACGCACTGTGGGTTGCCGACTGTAGAAAAACAATGGCGAATAAATTAAATATACCAACAGTCTGTATTAGGAGAAATCATGACTGTAGTCGATTTTTTTATCAGAAATAATAAACAGACGTTTAGTAGTTTTTCTAGTTTTAGATAACGTTTCGTTTTGACTAATGCTCATTCAGTGAGTTCATTGAGAACTGAACCAAACATTATTTTTCAAAGGGTCATTAGTAGCTGTCAGTTTGAAAATCGGAATGCAGCTAGAATGGCCGCCACGTTTATAAACGCAGTAAAGTTTTAAATTTACTCAAGATTTTGTTGCGTTGTTCCGTATTAATTTTTCAGGTGTTACTGTGGCATGTAATCGTTATAGGAGATCGCGTTTACGATTATTACAGAGCGAGGTGCAGTCTTTGATTCGAGCGATTCGCCAGGCGTTGACCGCAGCAGAGCCCATAGCACCAATCTCTGTGGACTCGGACGAGTGAGTACCTATCTATAATTCATCCATATTGGTTAGTATAACAAATAAAAACTTACGCACTAATGTTAGTAATTACAACTTCCATGTTTGTTGTGTGCTTGTTATTTGTTTATACTCCGTCCAACCATTTATTTAACTTTTGACATGTGCCTCCGAAGTTCCGTAATTATTGACATACAACAATAGACCAAAAAATGCAATACTTCCTGGACTCTTTTAGTGCAGCGACGTGCTCTTTAGCTCCGATATTTATCGAGCAAACAGATTATGTATCGAAGATTATTCAAGTTGATAAATTTTGGTACCTGTCCAATAAATTATAATTTATATATTTTTATTTATATATATAATATAATAAATTATAAATAATAATATAAAATTTTTATTGTCTATTATAATGAATCATCGGATTCTTCGCCATATGAACGGGAGTCATCACTTGAATTCGCATGAACTTTAATTTTATTCATTCTCGAGTACACCAATCAGACAATATCTTCTTTTTTGAACTCGCTCACATACACAATTTAAACTTCTTCATAAATAAAATCAATTGTTATAAAAATATCGAATCGGAAATGCATTAAGGTGTCCGTCAGGATGGCTGGACCAAACGAGATATACAAATCAAACTATGTTCTATTTTCTATTATTTAGTACCTTTATTAACAATTTTCTACCTTAGCGCTAACACAAATATTAAAAAAATAAAGTGCCATTCTGTCGTCAGGTTGGCTGACCACTACGTTTTTTAAGGTTCTAGCAGTATAAAATTTACTTTTTTTATATATAACTATTTAGTACCTAATTTCTACCTAAACATACTTTTTTCCTCTATCTTAGGAAGCTTCTATAAAAAGTTATATAAAAACAAAAAAACGCCTTTACAAAAGTTATCTTCTAAAAAGACAGATAAACTGCTTCCGTGTAATTGCTAATAATACTTTTTCAGGCGCTTAGTAGAAAACAGGTAGTAAATAATTAGTTTGATTTGTACATCTCGTTTGGTCCAGTGGTCCTTTGAAATAAATTGTAAATATGAAGAGATGGCTTTCTAATCTAAGGAATTAATTGCTTTTCTAGTTTTTTTATTTGACTAATAATAATAATAATAATAATAACGCACACACTCAACATAGCCCCGCACTAGGGAAACCCTGTGTCGCGGGTGCCATGGACACATACATAGACAACCACAAATTACACCCAAACTCACGAGAGAAATAATTGTAGGCCATACAACTATTTCTCCCGGCCCGGGAATCAAACCTGGGACCTCTGCGTGGCAGTCCGGCATGGTAACCGTTCGGCCACAGAGGCAGTTAAAACTAAAAGTGATCGAACCCCATCACTCCGTCGCTATAACAAGAAGTTGTACAAAAACACCGTGAGTTTCTATTTTCGTGACGATAAGTAGTTAATTATGTCTCTTTCACGGGTTAGATAATCGGTATGACCAAAATTTGAAAACTATTTTTCGAATTCCCAATTCCCAATTTCCAATTAAAGAAACGAACTCCTGCCTAGGCAGGTGAGAGTCACAATTTATAACTCTTTAATAAAGCCACATCTTTTATACTTATTTGAAATTTGGGTCTGAGCATCGAAAACGAAATTACAAAAGCTACAAATTTTACAAAATATAATTATCAAAATGCTATTTCATTACCTTACACAACATGCATTCTTATTCGTAAAATATTACAAAGGAACATTCACACTGAGCTTACATTAGTAAAAAAAGACAATCGCATAAGTACAATATCAGCAGTAGAGCCAATCATCTAATCCTGTCCATGATCAGAACTAAATAATGTCAATTAAACTGATTTTGCTTCACAATAAATGTGAAACTAAATAGACTTTTAAAAAACCGAGTAGAGGAGATTGTAGATCTCGTTTCGCTGACCCCACATTAACTCAATGTCGATTACGTTATTTATGATAAGGAGGGTAGACTTACAATACAAACGTGTACGTAAAAGTCGCAAGATAAGGTAAACATGAGATAGTAATGCGTCCAATTGTGTATCCAGACTAAAGACGGAGATCAAAGAAGAGGCAGGGGAGAGATTGGTGCCTGTGAACGATGACGACGATCCTCTCTCGTTGAACGTCAAACCTGAGGTAAACAAATTTACGTTATTTTGATAAAACTATAACATATAAAACAATAAATTGTATCTTATAAACAAGGGGGCGACTATTTCTAAAATTTCGCGACTAGAACCGACTAATTCACGACTTTTTCTGGGTGCAATCAGATCTAAGCTAGGAGCTGTGGTTCTCGAGATTCAAAGATGGTGCCGCCGGAATAAGCTTATTTCAGTGTGGACAGTAAAACACCTTAATAACTTCAAAGCGGCGTAACGACTAAACTTAGTTTTTACGACTAGAACCGACTAAATCACGACTTTTAGCGAAATCAGATCTTGGCTAAGTGTTGTTGTTCTCGCGATTGAGAAATGGTGCCGCTGGAATGAGCTTGTTCCTTGAGCGTGGACAGTAAAATACCCTTATAACTTTTGAACTGCGGCGGACCGACTACATCTAGTTTTTTGCGATTTTAGATCCGACTAAATAGCGATTTTTTCTGGCTTGTCATATTTCCAAAACTCTACCATGGTCACGGTGGAATAAGACACGCTGCTGATGATATTTGCTTAATTATGATCGTACGATATTCGATTCGCATTAATTTTGAATCTACTCGCTCAAAAATTGCATTGAAATGAATCGATACAAAAAATAGCTAGATCGTATTTAATTGAATCGATCTTCATAAAAATCGAATCGTAATGTGCATCCCTAAAAACGACAAGAGTAGGGTAATAGAGTTTTTTTTATAATAAGTGATGGGACGAAAAAGTCGTGCGCCTGATGGTAAAGCTACACGTCTGTCCGTAACAGTTGCAGTGCCACTCAGAACTTTGAATCGCAAAGATCTAAGGGGCACTGCCAATACGCCCGTCACCCTGAGACATAAGTTGACTAGTTCCATGTGCTAATTTCACTAGCAACCCTTTCTTTCAAAACCGGAACACAGTAATGCTGACATTACTGCTTGGCGGCAGTACTTCCCTTGACGAACTCTTTTACAAGGAGCACTACTGCTACAAAGAAGGGTTTATACGTTCTTTTATCTTTTATTAATATATACTTTTAAATTGAGGTCATTTTTGTAAAACGGGTTTCAATGGTATTTTTTATGGAAATGTATTGTGTAAATAAACCTTTGAACGGCTAATTGGAATGCCAAAAAAATTTTAAGGTATTAAGTAAAAATTATGACTTTCACAAAATTATTTAACTATATATTTGTTGCAGGAGACAACGGACGATGAATCCACTGACTCTTATTCTACGCTATCTGTCAATGAAGAAGAACCTTTTCCAAAGAGACCTGCATTATCTCCAAAAAATGTTAGTCACTCTACGCCATCTATTAGTGAAGAACCTTCTCCGAAGAGACATGCATTTTCTACAAAAAATGTTAGTCACTCTACGCCAACTATCAGTGAAAAACCTTGTCCGAAGAGACCTGCATTATCTCCAAAAAATGTTAGTCACTCTACGCCATCTATCAGTGAAGAACCTTCTCCGAAGAGACGTGCATTATCTCCAAAAAATGTTAGTCACAAAACAAAGCAAACAATAACACCTTCTGCATCTACAAGCAAAATTACACAAGGAGTAGCAGCTTGTACAAATAATCCACCTGTACTTCAATTAAAACCTATAGACAACCTTAGAATAAATGTACCTATCTCTGCAAAACCTCCCATAATAACTTTACACCAAAGAATGAATAATTTCTCATCAAAGGGAAGGCCGTTAATACTACGCCAAATTAAAACTTACCCAGGCAAAAAGCAATATTCCCCATTAATCGGTAGTCACGTAAATGTGTCTGGTAAACCACCCCACTTGGGAGAAAGGCCAGTGGTTTCGCAGCCGGGAACAGTTGGGTCACAAATGCTAGGGAACATTTTTAAGAAATAAATGACCTTGAATCATTTCATTGCTACGTAAAGCGTGAAAATGAAATTAAGTGGACCTACTTTTTATGAACAAAATTTGTTAATTGCAAGACTTGTTTTAGCTTCTTAGAATTAAACTATTTTTTGTAATTTTTTGTTTTTAATTATTTCTTATAACTATTCCTTCAACTTCATGTGGCGACTGTTACTGAAGTTACCACGATCTTGTATGTTACCAACTATTTAAGTACTATTACATGCTTTATGGCCTAGACTAGTTTTCCTGGGCGACTTGGTAGCAGTAGAGCTCCTTGTGAAAGAGTTCATCCAGGGAAGTACTGCCACCTTTACCTATTTCTGCCGCTAAGCAGTAATGTGAGCATCCAGTTTAGAAGGGTAAGGGTGTTGGTGAAATTACAGGCACATGAGACTTGTTAACTTATGTCCCCGGATGACGGGCACAGTGGAACTGCCTCTCAGAACTTTGCTATAAAAGATTTGAGTGGCACTGCAACTGCTAGGCCAAGGTTTCAAAAGCATCTTTTTTTATAAATAATTGACCACTATCTCACCTGATGTTAAGCTACGACATTGTGACCGACGATGGTACCTGCGCGTTTGTCTAAAAAAATGCGTATTTACTCTAGACTTTAATAGTCCCTTTGTACTTTTCGGAAAACGGATGCCAGTAGAATATTCCATTCCTTTGCTGTACGCATCACAAAGGAAGAAGCGAAGCGCTTGGTGCTAATGGATGGTATATCAATGACATGAATGGAGTGTTCCAGACCTTCTAGTTGACCGAAAGAGGAATGGTGAATGTGAGACTAAATTGAAAAGTTCCGCGCACTCCCCGAAATGTATCCAATAGAAAACTGACAAGCAGGCAACTTTTCTGCAATGGTCGAGATTTTATAGCTCCGACTCCACAAGAGAATTGTTGTTAATAAGCCTCTGCTTTACCGAGTCCAAGGCAGCTAACTGGTAATGGGCATGCCGTTTCAAAGGTGGCAGCAGACTCGATACATGATCGGACTTGTTTTTTATATAGATTTAAAAGCTGTTCTGGTGTGAAGTACCGCCGTACCCGGTAAAGTATACTAGTCTTTTGGCAGCAGTTTTTGCCTAGCACTCGACGTGAGGTTGGATCATAAGTCCAGAACAAGTAGCTCAAGGTGGTCACATATCGGCACGGATACACCTCTGAAAGCGAAGTATGTTTTGATAAGAAAAGACATAATTCTATCTTGTATAGCATTACTCATTTTTAATTTGAAGCAAAAAGATACTGAAGTCACCTTTATGTGGATTCCTTCTCATAATAATAAGAACGATATAGCTGATAGGACTGCATTCAAGGGATATATTCCTTTGATGTACAGCTCGTTGTCCCGAATTTTATTGCAGTAATTTACAGCAGCAAGATGATTGAAAAATTGGTGAATAGTTCAGCTTAGAGACCGGTCGGGAGATGACCTAAAACCTATTGAAAGAGTTGAGTTTAAGTTGCGGTCGGTATACCACTTAAAAATTAGTGAGATAGCTAAGTGCGGGTTGTGAAGATGACGATTTAGTTGAGTTAAACGTGTCTTGTTCGCCTTCGTTAGATAAAAGATAGGGTCGTAGTTACATTAAATTAGTCCAATTTAAAATTTAGGTTGTGAGATGGACTTGAAGACGTTGCGTGTCGATCAAAGAATGTATGTTTTCAGTGGCACGAATAATTAAATCTGTGTTCGCGGGTGCGCGCTTATACGTTTTTAGCAGGCCCTCAAAACTGCCATTGTCTGCCATACATCGATTTTTTATATGAAATTAGGCCATTTTTACTGCCACACACAAAAAAATAACATATACTGCCATATGCAATATTTTTTTTCAAAATTGGCAGATTTAGAATATAAATACTTACTATCCATTTGCGTTTTCCGTGATCATGGTGTAATTATACCACATTATCATATTATACACTGGAGATATGTCTGTTTTATATATGCTACAAAAGGATTTTAGGTCTATTTAAAATAATTGTAATTGGCTTAATGAGACGAAATGAAACTGCTTATTATGGCAATACCTATAACCTATCAAATCCCGAATTGCGGCTATTTTCCATGTCTGTTTACCGATTTTTCCGTGTCAGCTGCTCTGATTGTTGTGGTCGATGTCATTACATCGAGTTGAGCTTCGGTTCCTCTGTATTTGCAGTCGACGCTGTGCTTTTTTGTGTTTTCCCTTCCTATATTCACTTATTTTAGTGAAAATCTCTTTCGAGACAGTGACTTTTTTTGTGATATTTTCGTGGTTTTTCGTATAAAATGGGTCGTACAAGTCATCGAAACTGTGTAATTTGTGGCAAACAAGAGAGTCAACCCGAACGAATGGTTGGTTCTAAGTTTTTTGCCTCATTTCCACTGGATGAAATCCGGTAAGTAAACATTATAGTAACCTATATCATGTTAGCATAACGAAACATTTGGTACTATACTTTGTGTCATTTAGCATATCAGTAGCGATCGTTGGCCCGACTTTCATCTCGAAGTCACATTTCGACAGCCACTGAATACCCTATAGAACATAAATTAAAGACTTTATGGCTTAAAATTTAAGAGAAATGTAAAATTGAGGCGTATCATCATTGACTTATGCATATCATTAATAAATTTAAATGTAAATTTGTAAGTTGTTAATGTCACATTTTTAGCATTATGTTTTTATACTTTTTTTAAAATGTATTATTAGTTTAAATATTTATTTGTGTATGCATTTCTATTGAAAATAAATTATGAATTACTGTACCAAAATATCATCATATTAAAAACTGATATGTAAAACTTGGTGCAATATAACTTCGATATATTTTTTTTATCTTCATAATAATTATAAGAATTACAAAATACATTTCATCAACTGCCTCCGTGGCCTAACGGTGCCATGGTAGCCAGATTGCCAGGCAGAGATCCCAGGTTCGATTCCTGGGCAGGGAGAAACATTTGTATGGCCCACATTTATTTCTCTCGTGAGTTTGGATACCTCTATGCTTGCCTGTGTGTGTCCATGGTTCCGCGACACAGGGTTTTCCTAGTGCAGGGCTATAAAAAAATGTTTATAATGATTTCCTGTTATTCTATGCCATTTATAAACAAAGTCAAAATAAATATTTGTGAATGTTGGATTACTTAAAAAATAAATAACTGCAAAATCTGATCAGTTATTGTTGACCTACCAACAAACAGGTGTCGGTTCGCGCTAAAAAGTCTCCGCACCTACAGGGCGTTAATAACGCATGCAAAGCGTCAATCAAAATAATCAAAATTACTTGGAAGCATAACGATTTTATTATAAATCGGTTTTCGGAATTACGGATATTTGAGTTTACGTTTAGTTTGATTTCACATTTGTAATATTTGTATGTATGTATCTGCCCAGCTCTTCATTATTTCTTTAGTGAATTTGTAGAAAATTTGACATAAAAATATACTCCCAGACACATAATTTGAGCCACCTTGCATTTTCAATATTAAATGCTTAGCTTAAACAAAGCTTGATTGCTCAAAAGTGCTATTACGCAACTTTGAAACTGGTAAACTAAATGTCGTTTCCTTAAGTCTTGAAAATTTTTATTTACAAAATCGGAGAAAACTTTTTCTTCGATGCTAACTTCATTTTTATATTTTAGCCCTTTAAGGATAAAAATGCAAGGTGGCTCGAATTATGTATCCGAGAGTGTATATATAAAAATCAATTAATATTTACAAAGAATACTGCTCCATTACTCTTATGTTCAAGTAATTTTCAGTTGAAGGTAAATATGGTGCACATTGTTAAGTTCCCAGTAGAAGCTGCATATGGTGCATTTTGTTAAGTTTCCATTAGAAGTATGGTGTTTTTAGGCCCTTAAATTTTTGCAAGCAAAATTAGGCTGTACTGCAATGATGTTACGATTTAAATTAAATGTTTTAGTTTTTTTTTTATATTTCATTACATGTCACCACATTTGTATAGGTTAACTTCGGACATTTTTTTCGTGGTTTTTGTATTAGACTGGACATCCATTTGTGGGTAGGTCAATGTCAGTTATCTTTAATTTTATTTTAATTTAAAACTGTTTATTTCAAATATTAATACAAGTTACAGTACATGCAAGGTAGAATCTTAAAATTAAAGATTATTTATCCTTTTCTAGTGAGTTGGGTTAATATGTAAGGTACAACAATTAAATTAATGACCAGTTTGCGTATGCATCCTCTGATATTGATCTTCTATGTAAAATCTTTTTAACTAAGAAACTATGACGAATTTGTTTGATAAATAAGTATCTATACTTTCAGCTGCAAGGAGTGGCTTAGAGCTGTTGGCATTGAAGATTTGGCATATATGCCTATTGAAAAACTTAATGAACGACGCCATATCTGCGGAGATCACTTTGGAAAAAGTCATTTTAATAAGAAAATGAATCGTTTGAAGAAAGTTGCTGTACCTAAGCTGCAATTATCCTCACCTCCACTGACTGACAAACAACTTCAACATTTTCCTCTGCATACTGCTGCAAAGAACAAAACAGGTTTGTCTTATGATACCGAAAATACGTTGGATGAAAATGAATTGCAAAACTGCTTCCAAACCAGCGAAAACCAGTCCGCTCTACGATGCCGTACGGAATCGTACAGCGGTCCGCTCTACGATGCCGTGCGGAATCGTACAGCGTGCTTGTTTTCAACTTAACGACGATTCTAGTATATAATAACGCGAAATTGAAAACATAATATTATTTTCTTTTAAAGACCTACTTTTTGACTTGAACTGATGTCTCAAATAATTAATTTATGTGTACTTTGTGTGTCAATTCAATTTTAATTGATTTCAGTGCCTATACCTGATGCACCAATGGCTTCCACAAGTAAAGAACATCACGTTGCTGACCCTGTCCTGAGTAAGTTTTTTGTAGACTTAATCTATAAATTTTTAAATTATTTCTAATTACATGATTACTTTTTATATTTCTCCTAACAATCATAAATTTAATTTCAGTACCTGACAGGTTAATGCCTTCCGCAAGTAAAGCACCCTTGATTGCTGACCCTAAATTGGGTAAGTTTTTTATAGACTCTATAATCTAAGTTCTTTTTACAGCAAGAAATGATTTTATGTTTATTTTTAATGACAATCATGATTTTTAATTTCAGCGTGTTCAGTCAGGTACAAACCTGACGCCTCATTACCTTCCACAAGTAAGGAGCACCTGGTTGCTGATGTTGTCTTAAGTAAGTTTTTTCTAGACACTATAGTTTTTTTTTATAATTATTTACTTTACATGAATATTTTTTGTGTATTTCAATGGCTGTATCTGATTTATCAATAATGCCCTCCACAAGGAAGGTACACCTTGGTGGCTGTCAATGTCTTGAGTAGGTCTTTTCTGTTTATTTATTAAATATATTAACGACATACATTTACAGTTTAACCAAACTGTACAAATGTAGGTATACATTAGTCTCAAACCAATCTCTAATGGGCATAATGTACACGAAAGGAAAACGTGATTAATTTTTATATTTCTCTTAACCATCATAAAATTTAATTTCAGTGCCTGATACATCAATGCCTTCCACAAGTCGAGCATCTCTGATTGCTGACCCTAAACTTGGTAAGTTTTTTCTAGACATTATAATCTAAGTTCTTTTTATAGTAAGAGATGATTTTATATCGAGTTCTTAGGTTTTCGCGATTGTTACACATAGGAAACGAAACTATTTTTCCGGTTTGTTTGAAAAAACAAAATTTTTAATTTCGGTGGTTGTACCTGAAGCATCATTACCTTCCACAAGTAAGGAACGCCTGGTTGCTGATGTTGACTTAAGTAAGTTTTTCTAAACACTATAATAGATTTTTTTTATAAATTATTTACGTTTTACATTAATATTTTTTGTGCTTTTTATTGACTCTATCTGATTTATCAATAATGCATTCCACAAGCAAGGAACACCCTGGTGGCTGGCACGCCTTGAGTAGGTCTTTCTATTAATTTATATATTCACGACTTAGATTTACAGTTTAATCAAATTTACCTACATTATTTTGAAACCAATCTCTACTGAAACTACAATTGAATGTTCCCTTCACGAAACAGAGTCGATTAGCACTAAAAAAAATAATGATCAATTTTATTAATTTTTAAAGTCAACTCAGGCTTGACCAAAAAATTGACTGCCAAAATTGTAATCATGAAAGAAACATAATGGTTCCTAAGACAGTTTCTTTGTATCTTCTATGGTTTCGGATTTCCCCATACTGTCCACTTTAAAGTAACACTATATTTAATTTTAATTCATATATTTTAAATACAAAATAGGTATATATGCCATAATTAACAATTACCTGTATTTGAAGGAGTTAGGGTTCCGTCATAATAAGGTACTTATCTAAAAACACACTTTTTTTAAATAGTACAGTTTAAATTATATGCATCAGCTCACTAGATCCGACCAATAATCATAATTTATATTTGTTCTCTATAATTTTCAGAGTTGACACCACGGAAAAAGGAGTTATTGGAAAAATTGCGTCAAACAAAATGCACACTATCATCTTTAAAGAAAAGTGCTAAGTTAATTGAAAGAATCGAGCCGCCCATGTTAAAGGACATCGTCGAATCAGCCTTGAAAAATCAGAATAAAAAACCTCAAGGGAGGCGGTGGACATCGAAAAATAAAATTTCATCATTGGCAATTTTTAAAAGATCACCTAAGGTGTATCGATACCTGAAACAAATAATTCCATTGCCGAGCGAAAAATTGTTGCAAAATATATTAAAAGAAATACCCATGGAACCTGGAATAAATGCGCTAACCTTAAAGCACTTAAAGAAAATTGCACCGACACAAAGTACGGGTGATAAGTTGTGTGTGTTGGCTTTTGACGAAATTGCGCTTAAACCGCATTTAATTTATAATTCTGGTTCTGATAAAGTGGAAGGCTACGTCGACTACGGCGATTCCGAAGAACGTGGCTCTGATGTAGCCGACCACGCCCTTGTTTTTTTGATTCAGGGTCTGAGAAAAAAATTTAAACAACCCATCGCATTTTATTTTGTAAAAGGGACGGTTGCATCCCAAAAATTAGCTAATATTATTAAAGAAATTAAATAGTATAGCTGAGACAGGTTTTAAAATTCTGAGCACGGTGTGTGATCAGGGTCCCACGAACGTAGGAGCCATTAAAATTCCCAAAAGAAATAATGAAGATAATTTTTTTTATGGCAGGTAAAGACAAAATATTTATCATATACGATGTGCCTCATTTATTTCAATCAATAAGAAATAACTTTTTAAACCAGGGTAGCATGATTTTTAAAGGAAAAATAGCGAAATGGGAGCACTTAAAAGAGGTTGAATGCAAAAATAGAAACTTGTTATATTTGAGTAAAATATCACCAGCTCACGTGGAGCCAAAATATAGAGTGAAAATGCGAGTAAAATTAGCGGCTCAGATACTAAGCAATACAGGGTCAGCAGTATTAAAATTAATGGCAGAGGTAGACAAAACACGGTCTCAGGAGTTATTAGACACCGCCTTCGTAGTCTAGCAATTGGACAAATCATTTGATTACACCAATGGACCTGCCAATAAAGATGATATAAAAAGAGGAATTAGGGAAAATGTCTCATCTAAAACCAATCATCTTAATGTTTGGACCGAGTTCCGTAAAACTTTAAATGACGTAAAGTTTACCAAAAGTGGAGTGGACTGCGGCAATAAGGCCTTCAATTAAGAGCGCCGCAATGGCGCCCTTTTATAAACCTCTAACTTCTAAGTGCCCTATATATCACTTGTCATGTCACATATAAATAAAATGTAACATAATGATGCCAGCTGTCTAGTCTACAGCGTTACTTAATATCTGAGCGGCGTATTTTACTAATTTCTGTTGTCGTTAAAATTTTATAAATTTGTAAAATATCATTGTCATTGAAAACGACATTATAAACGATTTTACCAAATTGTGGTTTCAATGCACAAAATTGTAATATTGTTTGTGTATACAACAATTTAAACGTGTGCTGTAAGAATATATTGTTTTCTACAATTTGTAGCAAATTAATAAAACTATTTTAAGAAAATATTTATGACTACTTTTATTTCTTTTCTAATTATTAATAAAAACCTCCACAACCTATTATCTAAATTTTTTACTATTGTCGATATACTATGGACGTCACTAGTATCGATAACGGAACGGATCACTAATATTGACTGACAGTTGCTATTTTTATGTTGCTTACTTTGATTGTCAAATGGTTATTGTTCTTAAGTTGGTCCTGTCCGTGATCGGCGTAATGTTGGCTAAAAAAGAGGACTATCCTTAACAAAAAATTGGTTTGGAGTGCGGACTCTTTAACGTAGTCATTAGATCCTCTTTGGTTTTTAGTTTAGTAAAAATAATTTTAATGACTCCTTCGTTTTCGTACAGTATCTGCAACTTTTCACAGGTGTTAACTGTCAAATGTGGAAAAATATAGGAAAAATATTCGTAAAAATATTTATTTTTCTCATTAAATATGAATTTTTCGAAATGGACATTTTCCCACGAGTCAAGCGTAGAGCGTTTTGTTATTTATTACTATTACGGATTTGAAGTTTGTTGACTTTGAATGGTACATTTCAGAACGAACCAAATCAAACTTTTCAGGATTTCCACTGGACCTTTTGGAGGGAAAACTGTCGTTTATATTTTGACTTTCAATTATTTTGTGAAATCTAGTTTAAAGTGGAATAGGATAGTGCTATTGTGCCTTATCCGAAGATTAAAACGCGAAATTATACGAATCTCGAACTAAAATACCCATATCGGCCCGTTTTAAGGAATTCCGAGTCAATCCAAGCACGCTCAAATTGCCTATCTTCTTTGTGGCGGTCAAATTTACGGAAACATAATTAAACGAAGACATGGCTCAAAGGACTCGTATCCAAGCCAAAATTGTTAATTAAAAAAAATCAAACTTCAGTATTCGTTCTAGGCTTTTTGGAGGGAAAAGTGTCGTTTTTATTTTGACTTTCAATTATTTTTTGAAATCTAGTTTAAAGTGGAATAGGATAGTGCTATTATGCCTTAATCGAAGATTAAAACGCGAAATTATACGAATCTCGAACTAAAATACCCGTATCGGCCCGTTGTAAGGAATCCGGAGTCAATCCAAACACGCCGCCTCAAATTGCCTATCCTCTTTGTGGCGGTCATATTTACAGAAACATAATTAAACGAAGACATCTGTCACTCAAAGGACTTGTATCCAAGCCAAAATTATTAATAAAAAAAAATCAAACTTCAATGACATTTTTGTGCAGATTATTTTTTCATTACAAAATAGCCAAGGTGGATTAATTCAGATGTATTAAACAGGGTTTCACTATTGCGAAAAAAGATATTCCAACATGACAGGAGGTATCGTTTGTAGTGTGGCAACGTGTAAAAGCAATTCAAAAAAAGCAAAACAAGAAGGGCAATTTTTGAGGTTTTTTCGATTCCCCAAAGATATTAAAGTGCGGAAGGAGTGGATGCAAAAGTGCTATCGGCAAGATAAATGGGATGCTGCGACAAAACGCATATGTAGCAAACATTTTAAACCCGATGATTATGAGGACAAAATCAAAGCAGAATTGATGAACATACAACCAAAAGTACTAAAAAAAAATGGTACATGTATAATTTAAATATAATTGATAAAAAATTACGATATCAATTCACAGGTACCAAATGCAAGGACTTGCAAGTCACTAAGATATATCCTGTATTTTTAGCTGTTCCAGCACTATTTCTTCTTTGCAATGATGGAAAGGCTCCAATAGAAAAAAACCAAAGAATATCGCGAAGAAACCGTAAAGTACGTAGTGTTGGAAGAATTGCAACTAATTCTTTAACCTAATCTTAAAGCAATACTCTACCAAATCAAAAACAGTGTTAAGTATGAAGCTTAATTAGCATCATGCGTCTTTTAATTTGGTCGAGTATTACTTATTTGACAGTAATTGTTTTGGACGGATGTCGGGCGGAAAATGGGAGTACAGGGCCTGAACGTACGAGAGTGTATAGGTACAAGGGCACATTGATGTATAGGCCCCTTGCACGAGAACTATCATCGAGACGTGGGTGAGATTTGGAGAGACCATCTGGACGAGAGTGTACAGCAGCGGTAATAACATACCATTGCTACAAAATTGCTGACAAAATTGTTAATGGCCTTTATTAACTCTTACTTTGTGGAAGTTGATTGGCTGTCTATAAGAACCGGAAATAGGTCTGTCTCCGATCCACGAATGAAGCAAATTAAGAGTTCATTACTCTGTTTTGTTGAATATTCTGTTTATTAAATAAATAATATTGTTGAATTTAAATGTAAAACGCAATGAGAATAAAGCTATAACATGAATAGTTTCCGTCAACGTCATATCCATTTCATTTTGTACACAATTTGTTATTGTGCAACATGCACAACATACTGCACCTTCTATGGATTGAAATGAAACTTTGTTTAATATGGTTTGTGTAAACAGTGAATGCTGGCCCAGTTTAGTAGTAATAAACTAATTGAATATTTTATTACTTGTTATACAGAATGTTGTACACAAAAGTAGAAAATATAATGATAAGGAAACATTCTCATGGCTGAAAAGCACCTATATCCCATGTGACACAGGTAAGTAAACACCTTGAAGATGAGTTATAAATGTATGTGTGTAATAGAGGAATAGAGATAACGGTTTGCCGAAAACTCTGTGCGATATCAAAGTTTAAATGAAAAACATTAAAAAATCAAACTATTGTATTGGCCATGTTGATTGGGTAATTTTAGAATTTCCCCTTCCATAAAAATTCCTGAATTATAAAATAAGACTGTCGTTTGATGGTTTCTTTGTTATCAAAGTCGTGTCCATTCCAAGGTTTGTAAAGACTGGCATAAGTGAAAATGTGAAGGGGCTAACCTAACCTAATCTAACTGCAATAGTTTTTGACGACTTTGTAAAGAAGTGTGTGGCTTGGCATTATCGCGAAGAGTACGATACTTTTGCAATTCACGAGTTCTGGACGTTTTTCATGGATAATACTTTCCCGCCTATTTTTAAAATGAGCGCTAAAATTATAACCTATAAGTGACCATAGATGAATACAACATTTTAAAAACAAAAACCTATTTTTTAAACCATAATACACTACGTTACGTACTTCCCTCGACGAATTATAATACACCACGTTAAGTAACTTCCCTTGACGCATTCTTTCACAAGGAGCTCTACTGCTACTGCGTTTAACGTATTATTACTAAATCCTTTAATGTGACAGAAAATGTTCAAGGAAACTTTGCAATTACAGACGACGCCATGGTTTCGGAGCCGATGTGCGAGCAAAGCGATGACGACGTCCTTCTGTACGAACCCATGTCACAGGAAGTTGAGGATACACAAATTAAACATACAGGTGAGTCGAAGTAATCAAAATCTCTATGATAGAGTCTAGTCGAGAAAATAGGGTCTAACTGTAAAAGACATAAGTATATGCCTAAACCCTAGAAATAAAAAAGTAAGAACGCTCAGGAATAATTAAGCTATAACCAGTAATTTATTAATTTCATATGTTTGCGCCATCTCTGAGTTATTTTTTTATCTAATTTAGTTACTTTCGTAAACAATTTTGGATTTACAATAAAAGTTACAGAAATAGGCTTAAAACCAAAAATTATTTACATATTACGCGAGAACATAAAAAATTACAAAGAATGTTAGAAACGTAAACATCTGGCAACACTACACAATTATCATTCGCTATCGTTGTCATGTTGTACGAGGTCAAGAGCACGTCAAGCTTGACACTTAAGACTTAAATCCAACTCTATGCCGCTTACGATTAGAACGGTTCAAAGTACAAAGTGTAACTATGTAAACTACAAAACAGCGGAATAACAGTTACAATAACAGATTGAAAAATCGCATAACAGTATAATTCATTATTGACAAACAGCCGTTTTTGCCATATCTGTTACGTTTTATTATCGTTAGACGACTGTCGTGTCTAGCCTGTTCCCATATCAGGACTATCTGTCGTGGACGATTTTTTATCGTTGAACGACTGTCGTGACTAGCTGTTCCCGCTAGATCGTGACGACAATAGGAGCTGTGACAATCTCGTGACTTTTTTTATCGTCCGACGACTGTCGTTCTAGCTGTTCCCACTGTGACGACAGTTTGTCGTTGTAACGATAAAAAATCGTGAACGACAGTAAATCGTGTCGTGCTATATGTGAACAACTTCATTTAAATATACAAGCCACGAAACTGTAAACTGCACGACAATTTGTCGTCACGACATAGTGGGAACGCGCCTTAACTAGTGGCAGAGCACTAATAAATAGCCTATTACGTGATGTAAAACAAAATTGATGTCGAGTTGCGAACACCAACCCTTTACACCTTACCGTACCATATTTAGAAGACCACCACCATTTAGAAGAACTGAATTAGGTCTGAACTCACCAGTCTGCCGTCTGTCTAGACTACACATGCCACAATGGATATGTTCTCGGACTCGCTAACCAGTCTTCGTAGAGCAGTAATTAGCATGTAAACATCTTATCTATAAATATTATGATTGATTTTCATGTTTTTTATGTAACGATTATCTACATTGTTTACTGTTTCTCTTGTAATTGTATTGGACTTCATAGCACGTAAATATTAAGACTAATCTGCTTATGCAATTTGTGTTTCATCTGTTACTGGTTGTGCATGTACATGTACACGTTATTTGATGTAATAACTGTTGACGAACTTAATAAATAAAAAATTGCGTTCTGTATTGAGAGAAACATGAGAATATTTAAAATTAAGAGTAAAGCATCATTTATGTGTATATATGGGATTCATTACGAAATACGTTCCGTCACACTTGTGAGTTCTCCTGGCCATTTTCGGCCACGGCAACTGCTTCAGCTCCGCTGTTGGTGGCGCTCGTGCGCTCTCATGTGGCTCACGTACCCAAACTTATTTGCAACGATCGTGCGCACAGGGGGCACGTGAGCACACCGTCAATGTAATAGTAGCTGATCGCCGCAGGTGGTCGGGCTTTCAGCTCGTCACGTCTGACGTCCAACTCAATTCGTCGCCGTCTTAAATCGTGACTTTTGTTTGCCACAAAACATCTCCACTGCGGGCGACCGGCTGCCTGTTTCTCCCACTCTGTTGGGTCAATATATCAATTTTTCGTGTGGCGCTTAAGCATATTTTTATATCTAAGGAGTTGTCCGCCATGCTTTCGCTTGCCCCTCTCGAGTCCCGAATAAAAGATGCGCTTTGCCACTCGCCCCTCTGCCATCCTTGATATATGGCCGCCCCAACGAAGTTGTCGCCGCATAAAGTATACCTCGATTCCACCTACCTTTGCTCTTCGCAAACACAATTCACCTTAACGACTCGTCAACCGTATTTCATTAAACAAGAGACATTCCGACACAACGCATTTCACCTAATACCAAATGTGAAGACAATACCCAGCATGAAGTCATTCGCATCGCGCTTCTTTTAATTTGGTCAAGTACTATTTATTTGACAGTAATTGTTGCGGGCGGAGTACGGGAGAAGACTCCCGATGCTTGGGAGAGGCAATAATATTAATATCTAGCAATGGACGTCCTCGGCCTTAGATTTTGATGACGAGCATTTAGAAAATCCAATAACATTTGATTTAAATTTTATTGATCAAAACTCGCTTTAAAGGCACTTATAAATTAGACGCTCGTCAGTGGCGCGGCAATCGCACGTCTGTAGCGCTTCAGTAATTATTAGTTCAGTTATTGTGACTTTAAAAGTGGCGCGTGTCACGACACGACAGCTGTTTTGCAACTGCGTTTCTAAATATTGTGTGAAATTTAGTAGTGGCGTGGTTGTAGCGCCAGTGGCGCCACTGCTGCGCTTCTATAAGCGTCTTTTTACGGCGCCCTAATGGCGCACGTTGCAAATCAAGTACCGTTTTATCGGTTATTGATTACTTATTACTTAAGGTAATTTTAAAATATGTAATAAGTTACTTAGTCAGCAGTAATAGTTAGTCTATAATAATGTCCCACTGCTGAGCATAGGGGTCCTCTTACAATGAGAAGGCTTGGGCTGTAGTGTAGAAATGTACATGGGAGCAATAAAAAAAGTTAAAAGTAGCGTTAAACATACATGCTTCTATACACCTATTATGTACAAATAAGAAGTATATGTAGATAAAATAAATAGACGATGAATTGTAATTTATATGAAACGTGTTTGGGAATCCGCAAAGCTAAATTCGTTACCGCCTAGAGATAGATTAGTTTTAAATTGTTTTTTTTTTTTTTGCATTTGTAATACAAATATAAGATTTATTTTAAGTAAGTGCTTTTTCTTTAATTAGTATTAGGTGCCTATTAGATTAAATTGTAATGTTTATATTGTTTTTAAAAGGAAGGAAGAAATAAGAGTGATTACTTTTAAATCTTAAAAAAAAAGTACTTTAATTATAGATTATGTATTAGGGGAGGTAGGTGTTATATAGGGTAATTTCACATTGTATGTATATGAATATGTAGGTAGTACTATCTCTCTGTAGCCAGTCAATACATGGCGGTCACAAGTAATACGTGTTGTTTCAATTAACAATTTTGTGAAAGCATGCATTTGAATTTACAGAAGAAACAAGCAGCGGATTAGCGGAAGAGCTAAAATGCAACTTGTGCGAACAAACTATAAGAGGGTGAGTAATATTATCTGTAAAGTCCATAACAAGATACCGTATATAAACCACATTTATATATTATATATATACGTATATATGTTGAGTGTGTGCGTTATTATTATTATTATTATATTATTACACAGATATATCTTTTTTTAGAGGTCAAACTGGTTAACATAAGGAACCTTTACACAGTGATCAGTTTCTTTGAAATTTTGGAATTTGGAAACCAATCTCGAACATGTAAAATAACTGTTTAGGTTATTATTTTGGCGTTATATGCGTTAACTGCCTCTGTGGCCTAACGGTTACTATGCTGAACTGCCACGCAGAGGTCCCAAGTTCGATTCGCGGGTCAGGAGAAATTTGTATGGCCTACATTTATTTCTCTCGTGAGTTTGGGCGTACTTTGTGGTTCTCTATGTGTGTATGTGTCCATGGCACCCGCAACATAGGGTTTCCTTAGTGCGGGGCTATGTTGAGTGTATGCGTTATTATTATTATATACAGAGTGTAATCGTTAAGTGTGCCAAGGCGATTATTCCGTAAATATTAGAGATATCGAAAAACTTTTAACTGATATCGGAAGTACGATACTCAACGAGTAAAACGACATCAATAAAAATAAAATTAGAAATATCCAAAATTTTAACGTTAAATGTTCCTATACATATATTTATTATGACATTCATAGAGAGGCTTTAGTTGACCTACTTTAAGTGGTAACAATAAGTTTACAGATAACGAAACTGCTATAAATAAAGTAATAAAACGATCTTTTAATTCAATAACATAAACTGATGATTATTTTTCAGTAAAAACATAATTTTGTATTCAAAGCAGTTGTTTGAAACTAAAGCCTCTCTACAAGTCTTCGGGAATAGTGCAAATCCGCGTATGTAGCATTGGTAAAAAGCATGTATCTGCATTAAGCCAAATATTACACGAGAAAGATTTCATGTTATTACTTTGTTCTTTCAATGGCTACGGCTTTAATTTTTGCACAGTACCTAAGCATTAATTTATCTTGTCTGCGGACTCATAACAATAGATTCTCGTAAATCAAGCTAATTTGGTTGCCACGACATTTACGCGGATTTAAAAATTAACGAAATGGAAACTCTTAATCCAATGCTAGTTACGCGTAATTGCATTACCCCCGACAAAATGTAATGTTCAATATATGGGAGAGTTTAACATTAAAATTTGGGATATTTCTAGTTTGATTTTTAAAAAGTTATTGATAACAGTCTAAAGGAATTTGATATCTCTTATATTTACGGAATTATCGCCTGGGCACACTTAACGATTACACATTGTATACGTGAGTGTAAAGGACTTTTACCACTTTTATCATTAATTTTGTATTGAAATACCTTTGGATTTGTTCGCATAAACATAGGATTGAAGATTTTTTTCTGGGAATCAGCACTTTTTTTTTGTATAACATTACGTTCATCCAATGACAATTTAAAGGCAACTCATTGTTAAAATTTTGATAATTTCTAAGTTTAGTGGTTTTGGGTTACTAATTATCACCTATGTGACATAATCTATTGTTATTAAACTTTAATCGTTTTAGTCCGTTCCGCTACTCGTGCGTGCAATGCTACGACTTCGACCTGTGCGGCGCGTGCGAGGCACGAGGTGCCCATCAGATGCACTACGTGCTCAGAGCGCCAGGACATAAGAACATTGTGAGTATAATTATAGTATTAGATTTTAGTAACGTACTAATACATTTCTCTGTTGTACAAATCGACCCCTCCTATGTAAAATATCGTATGTCGAAATTGCCAAGTTTACAGGGAAGCGTTTTAAAGTTTTCTATTCACTGAAATGAGCATAACACGTGATTTTAGCATTTCTCAGTTTTATGCGGCAAAACTCGTTACTGACATAGAGTATTATAGAATCTTAGATATCAGTTAGATGAACATCATCATGATTGTAAAAACTGTAAAACGCTCCCCTGTAAACTTGGCAATTTCGACATACGATACTTTACGTAGGAGGGGTCGAAATGATCATTGGTGACAACGGCCGCCGCGTTTATCTGATCAGAGTAAAAGTTTAAATGTAATACACTAATGCCTGTCTTCCGAATTAATCCAAAATGGTGGTAACGACAGACCTATCCATAACAGTTGCAGTGCAACGCAGAGCTTCAACTTAATGGCACTGCCACTGCGCCCGTCACCGTGAGTAATAAGTTGACAAGTCCCAATTGCCTGTAATTTCACCAGCACCCTTGCCCTTCCAAACGGGAACGCAGTAATGCACGCATATATAGTAAAATATGCTTAGGTCATGTTTGTAACTGAAAACTGTATATAGTATATGGTACAGCCTAGGTACCATTAGCGATTTAAAAAATCAGCTTTTTAAAAAACTTTATTTGCATTTGATATCGGGACTTAATCGTGTATAAATATATTTTACTTACCTCGATGTTTCGGACGTGTTGCAACGTCCATGGTCTCCCAGGAATTAGCAATTTCTGGCCAGTACTGGTTTACAATATTGATTTCCAGTTTCACGATTTTCACACAATTGATATTGATATTGGGACTTTATCAAGTATAAATACAATTTATTCACCTCGACGTTTCGGACGTGTTGTGGAGGTGGGTGACAAATAACGTCACCATGAAAAAAATCAGTGATCATTCATCAAATACTATCACCGTGACTTTTTACGAAGGAACGACGTTCCAAAATCACATCGGTCGTTCCTCCGTTCCGCAACTATCACCGTCACTTACGTCACGGCATACGGCGTATTTTACAAACAAAATCATGCGCAATCTTCGTTTTGTGAGAGACTGCGCTACTCATTGTAGATAGCTTTTATTTTTAAATTCTAATTATGAACCAAGAAATAATTAGATCAGTATAAATACCGTGTAACGTTATAAATACAAGTAAGATAATTGTACAACATTGATCCAAAATAATAAATAATAATATAGTATAATGATAAATAAATATCCACGCCGCATGGTCTTATTAACGAATAATGCGACAAGCCTATAAAACTGAAGGTTATTGCGGATCAATTTTTCAAACTAAATTAAACGTTACATCAAAGTGACGATTAATAACGACTACTAGAAAGTAGGCGCTTGCCAAAACAGTTTATCGTGACGTAAGTGACAGGCGTGACAAAATCACGGTGATTTGTCACTGCGTCCGACATCCATCCGAAACAGTTACTGCCAAATAAGCAATACTTGACCAAATAGAAAGACGCGTGTTGCGAATAAAACTTCATACTTGATACTTGTCTTTTAATTTTGTCGAATATTACTTATTTGACAGTAATTGTTTCGGACGGATGTCAGACGGAGATCGAGAGTAGACCCCCTGTCCCCACTATAATGTACAAACGTACCTAATATACACAAATTAAGACTCAATTTATATTAACGGCGGAACGGAATCGAAGCGAATTTTTGTAACAATATTGTACATAGCATAATTAACTTTATAGTCAATTACGTAACGTACAAATTAGATACGAGCCAAAATCTTCCGAGGATTTCTCGTGTATATTCGAGAGCATTCTCGATCTTTCTCATCATTATGCTATGTATGTACAATTTTGTTACAACAATTCGCTTCCATTCCGTTCCACCGCAATATAAATTGAGCCTTAGTCCCATTAATAATGTATGAAAATCGTGAAATTTTAAATCAATGTTTTCAAAACATTATTGCAGAGCGAGGTGCAATCATTGATTCGAGTGATCCGCCAGGCGTTGACCGCAGATATGACTGTACCAGCCTCACAGTATTCTGATGAGTGAGTACCTATGCCTCTTATGGTTGAGTTGTCGTGGTTGGGTAAAGTTCTATTGTACTTTCTATTCTAGTACACTTTCATTTTTGTGACCAACTCTACAACTTTGACACTTTTATTATTTATGACCCCAAGTAGTTTTTTATGACATCTAGTGACGCGACAAGCACATTGTGCGCCTGGTGGTAAGCGACCTGCGTGTTCATAACAGTTACAGTGCCGCTCAGAGCTTTAATTCAATAAGATCTGAAGGGCACTGCCACAGCGCGGCGCCCGTCACCTTGACATAGAGTTCACAAGTCCCATGTGCCTGTAATGTCACCAGCACCCTTCAAAATCGCAACGGGTTCGTTCGTTATGCCTCCGGTTTGGTAAGCCGCTGTGGTATATGCCTCAAATTTTGGATCAATAGTTTTTGTCAGATATCTCGTCTATTTGCATTAAGTCATGTTAACATCTAAAATGTTTCTGAATTTAATGGTTTATTTATATGTGTGTTACAATTATGATTTAACTTAAAAAATTATAATAGGTTGTTAACAAACTTGTATTGGTAAAATAGTGCTTACCTACTAAATCCTAATTATTAATAATATCGTGTTGGTAAAATAATGAAAGAATACCTTAAATAAAATCTATGAGTAAAACAGGAAGAAAAAAAGTGGAGTGAATAACAAGATGATTGCTACGCTGACTGCAGAGTATGAAAAAAATTTCAATTAATCCATTAAAAAAAAAATCCGTCCGTTTGTTGTAACTAAGCAAAATCTTTGATTATATTAGGTACTTTAAGTAAAAAAAAAGACGATTTTGCTTGTTCACGATTGTTAGTATGAAAAGTAATTTTTTTCTCTAATTTCTTAATAATAATATAAGTTTTGCATGTTTGTAATACTGCTCTCGTAACGAAAAAAGGCACCACTATGCGTATTTTATACAGCAGTTGAGACTTTTTACGTTCCGAGGGCAGAATAGTCATAATTTTGTTAAAACTACATAACATGTTATTTCAAATTATTTCCATAGCGTCTAATATTACATAACTCTAAATTTTTTTTTGTTTTTGTAAAAGCATATTTGTGTCTGGCAGTAAATTTAATTAAAAAGTAGCTTTGAATTACATTTGTAGTACCTAACCCAAATCGGGGGCATACACCACGGGGACATAACGAACGGAACTATTGGAACGCTCACATTACCGCTTGGCGGCAGGTATAAATAACCTAATTATAACAGTTCCAGTGCCACTCATAAGGTTTAAATCGCAAAGATCTGAGGCACTGCCACTGCGCCCGTCACCCTGACACATAAGTTTCATGTGCCTGTAATTTCACCAGCACCCTTACCTTTCCAAACCGGAATGCTGTAATATTCATATTACTGCTTGGCGGCAGAAATAGGTTGTGAGGCAGTACTTCCCCAAAGGAACTCTTTCACAAGGAGCTCTTCTGCTACTATGTATTTCTAAAATGCTAAAAATTGTTTGTGATGTTAGTAATATAGTCCTGGGAGGTTTATAGTATTTTACAAATAACCCTGTGAAATTAGAGACGGGTTCAATTCCCGGATCGACAAATATTTGTATAGCCTACATTTATTTCTCTCGTGAGTGTGGGTGTAATTTGTAGTTGTCTACGTGTGTCCATGGCACCCGCGACAAGGCTTTCCCTAGTGCGGGGCTATAAAAAAAAATCTATTACCATGTGCATTGTGCATACGTAAAAGTGGTAGAATAAGGTAAATTGAGGGAAAATAAATAAGACCAAATATGTATGCAGACTAAAAATGGAGATTAAAGAAGAGGCAGTGGAGAGATCGGAGCCCTTCCCCGATGACAATGACCCTCTCTCATGGGACGTTCAACTGGTAAATAAAACATGTATCTATGTTATATTAAGAAAAACATTTTTGGATTATTTCCAATGCTTTCTACTATTCAAAGTACAGGAACAAGATCACGACAAACTCAACACTTAAGTCCTAACATGATGCTGTCGCAGTGAATAAACAAATTCAGTGGCGCCGTAAACGCTTGTCATCAGCGTGTCTGCGTCATACACACCGTAGACGCGCGTATATATCGCGCATTTTTATAAGAGATAGTTGTCATTTTAGTTTTGTTTGTAACGATTTGGTTTTTAACGACTTTTTTGCCGTTGCGCCATCAGTGAGAAATCTATTTCTACACTCATCCAAGTACCTGTACAGCTACCATCAGCTGACAAGAGATGTAGCTTTATTCATTGTAATTTTTAAATTTTATTGAATGTCACGATGTTACATTATTTTTGTGAAATTACTGCACTAGTTTGTTATAATTTATTAAGACGCTGAAAAGCGTCGATGACCTTGAGCGATCGATGTTTTAAGCCACGTCTACTATATTACAATTACGAAATGAATTAGCTAGCTGAGCGCAGTGCCGGCGACATAAGTCCGTCCAGCAACGCGTCTCAGCTATCACTGCCGACCTTCGTATGCGTAAAAGAGAAGAAACTACCAACAGTTTGCGCACGTCTCAAAATAGGGTTTATTTCCAAAATTAGGTTCAACTATGGTTTTCATTATTGGATTATTCCTTATTCTTCAAAATTTTGTCAATTTTACTCGGTATATTACGAATATATTTGCGATGAAAGCGTACAATAAGAGGTAACTTTGAAATTTTTTTTTTATTTAGAAAATATTGTAAAATCGTGTTTTGGAAACAAAAACATTTTAGATAATACGATGAAGAATAATACACATTTTTTTCACTGCTACAAGTTGAACTGATCTTACTAAAAACGCTTTATACAACGTCTTACGTCGTCAACGTGTTAATACAAAGATCGAATATTTAGAAAAAAATCCTTCGATCCGGCTGGATTCTAACCGACGTCTTCCAGCAAACCGTGCTAGACACTATGCCAACTAAGCCATGGAACGAACTAGCGGACTTTATGAATTTTTCTATGTGCTTGTTGCAGAACTTGTTTGAATTGACTTGTCTTTTGTGCTCAAACATCGTGACATTCAACAAAACTTAAAAATTATATCACCAAATTATTATTTTTAATTTTTACAGGAGACAAAGGACGATTCCACTGAGACAGACACTACGGTATCTGCCGATGAAGAAGAATCTCATCCAAAGAGACGTACGTCATCTTCGAAGAAAAATACAAAGCCTATAGTGAAAACATTTGCGTCTACAAGCAAACCTATACAAAGTGTAGCAGTCAGTAACAATAATTCACCTATACGTCAAGACATACCCTCAAAAATACTAGAAACAAATCTAGCAATCTCTATACAGACACCAGAAATACTAAAAACAAATGCGGCAGTGCATGTACAGACACTAGAAAATAATACGATGCGCCAACCAACAGTCGGCAATTTATTGTAGCTTCAAACATAACTACAGATAGGATAAACATTCAAACTTCCACTATCAAAACGCAACATTCCCCAAATAGTAGTCAAATAAATATTTCTGATAAAACATTTCAGTAGAAGGACTGGTGGCTTTCCAACCAGACAGTAGTTTCACTCCATTTTTCCACTTCCATTTTGTTGGCGAATCATAAAGTGTGTGACAAAACTAAGTAATATGTTATTTAATGTATTAAGTTTATCTCCGCACTACAGTATCTCTAACCATGAGTGTAAATTATGATAGTTATTGCTAGTGACCGCATAAAATGTTTGTATACAAAATGTAGTTTCTTCATGTGACCGTTACGAGGCGCTGACACTACACGTACATAGCTATTTTTTAATAAAAAAAAGTGTGTTAATTGTAAGATTCTAAGACTGATTTTAATTTGTAAGTGTTCTGACAATAAATCGTTTGTTATATAATGTTTTAATATTTATCAATGAGCGTTCCTATGTTTGAGTGGCTACAGTGATAAAAACATTGTCCAACTCTAGTCCTTATATCCCCGATGCATCAAACTCAAGCTTGGTGTGTGACTGAACTATCTGAAGGAGCTTTTCTACCAGCGAGGCAAGACACGAATTTTATTGAAATCTACAACGAAAATATTTCCATTTTTTATTTACATTCTATCTAGGCAACAATACGGTTCAATATTACACCATGAAATATTTTAATTCTCATCTCACACATCCTCGTCAATCCAAATCATTTCATTGCCATGTTGCCATATAAATATCAATCTTCGTATCACTATATAGTACCGTATATACAATATACGCCAATACCGTATCACTAGCTGGTAGCTAGTATGAAATAACAGCGATTTTGATACGGAGTGTAGTTCCGGTAGTTATTTATTTTGATTGTCAAATGAATGGTCACACCACAGTTTGACTGTCACAAAATTCTGGACTTGCTTGATGTCAATCAAATTCAATAAAATAAAAAAAAACGTGGAGCGCGTGAAGTACGGAGCGGCATATTTACGGCACATTGTGTCAAGTTCCCACGTTGCCTCGATAATCTCTTATCGGTTCAACACATTTATAAATAGTTCATCTTGTTGTTCTCGTCGCACATACCACGAGTTACGGCCGAGAGGTCATTTTAATCTGCTGATGAAATCAACTGCTTCGTTCGAAGAAATAGTTAACAAGTTAGACTCCGCACTTCCTCTAACAACAAGGATGCCGAACATCAAGGTCTTTAGCGGGAGCTCCCACCCAGATCTGGCCCAGAAAATCGTCGATCGTCTCGGCATCGACTTGGGAAAAGTAGTAACCAAGAAGTTTAGTAACATGGAAACGTGTGTCGAGATCGGTGAATCCGTTCGTGGGGAAGACGTGTATATCGTGCAGAGCGGCAGCGGCGAAATCAATGATAACCTGATGGAGCTGCTCATCATGATCAACGCTTGCAAGATAGCGTCGGCGTCACGCGTCACTGCTGTCATCCCCTGCTTCCCCTACGCCCGCCAGGACAAAAAGGACAAGAGCAGAGCACCCATCACCGCCAAACTCGTGGCGAACATCCTCTCCGTATCTGGCGCTGACCACATCATCACTATGGATCTCCATGCATCTCAAATTCAAGGGTTTTTCGACATACCAGTAGATAACCTCTTTGCGGAGCCTGCCGTGTTGAAATGGATCAAAGAAAACATTCCAGACTGGAAAACTAGTATTGTGGTGTCACCAGATGCTGGCGGTGCTAAGAGAGTGACATCAATTGCTGACCGGCTGAATGTGGAGTTTGCACTTATCCATAAGGAGCGAAAAAAGGCAAATGAAGTTGCTTCAATGGTGTTAGTTGGAGATGTCACGGATCGTACGGCAATTTTGGTTGATGACATGGCAGATACATGCGGAACCATTTGTCATGCTGCAGAAAAACTGATTGAGGCGGGTGCCACAAAGGTTTACGCTATTCTAACGCATGGTATTTTCTCTGGTCCAGCCATTTCTCGAATCAACAACGCATGCCTAGAAGCTGTTGTTGTCACAAACACAATACCACAGGAGAGGCACATGCAAGAGTGTCCTAAGATCCAATGCATTGATGTATCAATGATGCTTGCAGAAGCAGTTCGACGTACACACAATGGAGAATCAGTTTCGTACCTGTTCTCCAATGTTCCATATTAGTTTAATTCTTTATGTTACATTTACTTTTATATTTAAGATTAGGTAACCAACATTTACAAGATGATTACATGTATTAGAATTTGAAAATTCATCTGTGTAACCATGATGGTTATGATTTTTTTAAGCTGAGTAATGAATGAAATTCAGTGAAAATATTGTTACATTAAAAAATCATCCGAACTGTTGGGTGCCTATTAATTTAGTTATAATATTAATCTCATATAGAATTATTACGAGAAGATCAGATCTATGTTTAATGACATTTAGTGATAAATGCATTCTGATCTAGCCTTTCATACTTTCATGTCGATATTGTATTTGAGATATTTATGAATTATAAAACAGCTAATTGGTAGATGTGATTTTATGCCATATAGTATATACTTCATTCCAATTTTTTGCCAATAATTTTGTTATCTATGGAACTGTGGTCTGCATTTAACTTAGATCTTATTTTTATGCAGTTTTTGTAATTTTTAAATACATATTTTTCAATGGCATTCTTTTTTTACATTTTCAATTTAGTTTTAATTACTTTAAAAGACAAATGTGACCAGTGCTTATTAAAATTCTTTTTAAATGCTACATATTGCCTAATTGGTTTGTATAAAAAAATATATTAGAGATGGGTATTTAAAATTTTATTCATTAACAATATCAGTTCATGACATCAATTGCACATTTAAATTTTAACTAAAATTAATGTACAATAATCAAAAATAGGTCGTTGTTGTTTTAGAATTTGCAAATTGAGAGTAAGCATGTTAAAAATATAGTTTTAATTGGCAGCAATAGGCAAAAAATATGTATTATGTAATTCAGCAAATTGGCAATTTGCCCATTTGTATAATTGTGATCAGAGATCTTCTAAATTTTGTAGATTATAATTTGTGTATATTTTGGTCCATATACCTACACCTATCTACTATTAAGACACTAAATAAAAAATACTTGCTATAAATATATACATTTTGTTTTTATCAGTTAATTCAATTTTTATCAGTTAATTCAAACCACTGTGTTGCTCTTGTTGAACTTAACGAAATAAACCGTGTTGTGCTTAGTGTAGCACTGTAAGGCTCAATTTAGATTGCGGCGGAACGGAATGGAAGCAGCATTTTTATAACGATGTTGTGCATAGCATATTGAATTTTATGCTCAATTGTTTAACGTGTAAGGCGATTATCACACTGCACCGCGCCCCGCGGCGGAGCGCGGAGCTGCGTTTTTAACGTTGTACTGAAGTACTTCGGTTTGTGGGTAAACGCGGCGTCGAACATACTGACAACGCTTCTCCGCGGGAGCGCGGCACACGTGGTTTTACCGCGCCCCCGGGTGGAGGGGCGCGGCGAACCGCAGGGTATGGCACACTGTGCTCAGCACTACCGTGCAGATTTTTAAGCTTACGGACATGTTCAGTTTTCTACAATAGATCTCGACATCGATAAATTTATATTTGCTATTGAAAATGGACCAAATTTATCTTCATATTTTCTTAAATCTTTGTAATGAAGTTGAAATTATCCATTTATCGATAAGCAGGCCTATTGCGTAACTCAACTGACAGCTTATAATGATAATCACCGAATAAAGTGCTCAACTACCTTGTGTCAAAAATGCATATTCGTAATTTCTATCTATGGTTAGCAACTGCGAAACGTCAACTTCAGTGATCATCACTTTAACTCGTTTTGACAGTTGATTTTGTATCGATAACCGTTATTTCGTATTCCGTAAGCACAAGTGCTTATGAAAGTGATCATCACCGAGTGAATAATATTCATTTATTTTGAGACCGATAGCAACTGCTAACGACTAGTGTTTTAAAGGTTTCTTAGTGATTAACACTATAAACCGACCAAGTAAAATAGATAAGCCAGTCTTACTAAGGCGCGCTTAAATAACGACGCCTAACATTTGTTTGGTTTTTTGTTTAGTTTTATTCTTTGATTTGTTATTTTGCTTCTTTGAGTAATATTCTTTGTAATTTGTGAATATAAGTAATGGCTCATGCTATTCTGTTGGCACATGCGGAAGATAGTAGAAAGCGAGCAGCCCTTAGGATAAGAAAACGACAACTGAGGGCTTGTAGTGCTCCTATGCATTTGCCCGAAGAAGGGATGTATCCAATATCTTCGGTGTCTTTTTATTCGAGTAAACAAAAACCAAATAGTACTGCAGCGTCTTGAATGAGTTATGTATTATTAACCATTCTTGTCAAAGGATCTCGGTTAGACATACAATCACTACGGCGATCAACTGCGAAGCGAGTACTTTAAGTGATGCGGGGCCGCTAGACCGCGCGTGAATCCGCGTCCCGCGCTCCGTCGCGGGGCGCGGTGCAATGTGTTAATCGTCTAAGCTAGATACCAGCCAAAAGGGTCGTGTGTCTTCCTCGGAATTCCCGCGCATACTCGGGAACTCGGGAGAATCACGCAGCTGCCATCAGCGACGCCCAGTAAATATAATAGATAACGTCAGGCGTCTTCGAAGTAGGTTGTGTACGTACCGTGACAGAAAAAAACATGAACTGAGATAAAAAGTTGATCTATTTGGTACTAAAATATGATAGTTTGTACAAAGTGAACGCTGGAAACCTTAGCGACAAAATTTCTAAGAATAATGCATGGGAAAAAGTCATAAAATAGGTGGATAGCGGCTAAAGTTTTGCAAAATATTTCATATTGTCCAAAAAGATTTTGATAAACCATGAACACAAATATATTTTCTCTTCTTGTACTTCATAAATAAGAGAAATAAAAACAATATCCAAGTCCATCATCTTTGTAATGTAAAATATCTAGACTAAACACCTACTATAGACTCAAGGCGTAGGCACCGGAATTCTCGGGAATGCCCGAGCAGTCCTGCCTTCTCGCACAGCGGCAGCGAGGCGAATTTCGCGTCCGTTCAGCAGCAATGTAAATTGAGCCTAAGCACATTAAGATATCTAGTAGTTTGTAGTTTAAATCAAGAAAGATTGTTACGCACTGGTTATAAAGCTTGTTAAAAAATATATTTATTGACTTCATGGTTCTACGACAAAATCGATCGTAGAAACTACGGCCTTTCTTATATTAATAGTTCGCACGGAATAATCCGTTTGGTCTGTGACAGTACGTCACTAAAAGTCGTTCGTTCTAAAAGACACGAGGTCTTTTAGGTACGTTTCAAAATAAAAAAAAAACAGTCCCCCGACTTGTTACATCATTGAACTTGGTTTATGAACTGTCCATATCTTGCCCAGTTGACCCAAAGGTCAGGTCCCAATGACGCAAAATTGTTTACTGAACGGGCTCGTCGACGACGAAAATATAAACAAAATAAATGCGCAACGGCGTCAAGAGTCTTCGAAATAGGTTGTGTACGTACCGTGACAGAAAAAAACATGAATTGAAATAAAAAGTTGATCTATTCGGTGTTAAAATGTGACATATATGTATGTGCAAAGGTACGGACAACAGTACATCAGACTTCACATTTTTGTTCGAAAATCGTCTCCAGTGCAACGGACCACGATCTGTCAATGTGTAGCTTGATGTGCTGTTGACTATACAAAGTAAACGCTACAAACTTTAACAATAAAATTTCTAAGAATAATGAATGCATGGGGAAAAGTCATAAAATAGGTGGACAGCGTATAAATCTTTGCGAAATGTCTCATATTAAACAAAAACAATATCCAAATCCATCATCTTTGTAATGTTATGCTCAGGCCATACAGAGGCGGCCGCGGAAGCGTTCTGGGCGCGGGAAAGTTTTGTAATGTACGAGTTTATAATAATTGTGACAAATTGTCAATTATCCGTTTTAAATAGCAAAAGATAGAGCACAAAATTATCTTTTAAAAACAGTTAAAATTAATTAAGTAATAACGATGCATAACTGTTTCCAATATTCATAAACTTGGTTTTTTACGATATATGAAATAGTAGATTGTACAACAAATGTACAAAACGCGTCACTTCACCCGAGACGAGTATATCCTATAGATACTTAAGTCGAGAGTAAAATGGGTTTTATGAACGAGTTATACACTCTACTTTTCACTTCGATTGCGAGGAAGTTAAACAGCAATATTACAAACAAACGATTATTTAATTAAAATTGAATGAATGTCCGAGATGATCCTAAGGGTATGGGTAAGATGATCCAGGGGATCACCTTGCCTCTATTTAGTAAAATTTCTAGGTTTTGGTAGAAACAAATGAAAACAACAACTTTTTAGATTTAACAAAGTCCTCACTCATGTAATCTAGGTATATGAAACAACAGTTACGGAACTTCGAGAACAAATAATCCTAATTAATTTGTATCTTACAGGTACCTAAGGGTGGGCGAAATTTTTTTTTTATGTCAAGTTGATATCTATCCTCGTCTCCATATCATGTACTTTACGAGCTCGATTTCCTGTTTATCACATCTGGTGAGAACAGTCTTTTTTTCACCTAAATATTTCATTGAACTGACAGACCCTTTATTTTCACCTTTAGCCTTTTCTACTATTTTATTTGTATTGCAAGCTATTTAATTAAGAGTTTTCAGTACTCAGAAAAACATACAAATTAAATATAGTCCGTTATCAATTACATACAGTACAAGATAATACTCACGGATCATATCGTACACCAAAACCATGATCATCTTGCCCCAATTTACTTATTTTTATTTTTTGTTCGGCAAAATGATCTGTATGCTGTCTACTGTTACCACGCCATTCAAAAAGTAAATAGAGCATTATACAAAGCCACCAACACAAAAATCTTAGCAATTGATTGCTTAGAATGGAAGTTGTCTAAACTTTTAATCAACTTTACCTTAGATCAAACTCACACAATTTTTGTTTTTTTTCCACAAAACCTCTGTGCTTGTCCAATACTGGACAGCACAAACGACATTAAATATTTAGGTGTCATAATTGGCAAACATCTAAATTTCAAACATCATATTGTAGCGCTTACTTTTAGAGTTCGAAAATTGATATATGTTTAAAAAAATTTAAGATATGCAGCTAGCAGCGTCCTTCTCAAATCAGTGTATTTAGCCCTCTGTCAATCATTGCTACTTTACTGCATTACATCCTGTGGCGGTGCACATAAGACCACCCTGATAAACCTGGAAAGAGCGCAGAGAGCTGTTCTTAAAGTCATCTTTTCTATTTTTCTTTCTTTTCAACTTTCGTCCTTTCGATTATCAAACCCGCAAACTCCTAAACGAGTGCGATGTCCTCTCGGTTCGGCAACTGTTTATCCAACAAATAATTTTGAAAAAGCACTCAATTACTCCATTTGATTCTGTTACTTAAACCAACCAAAGACGACTCGATACCTTTTCATCTCGTGCACATTTCCGCACAGCACACTCGCATAGATTCTTTTCTTTTCATTGGTACATTCCTTTACTTTAAATTAAATTCCAATTTGCATTATTTCGCCATGAATAAAATAGAATGTAAAAGGACCGTCAAATTGTGGCTTAAGAGTAAGACTTACAATGAAACAGAGGAATTGCTGGAAGTTGTTTCATAATTACAATTTGTTGTTTTATATAGGTAACCAT